AAGGCAATAAAATTCAATTAAATATACATGACTAATCATAATTAACCTGTATTTATGTAATGTCCTGCACTGAAAACAGTTTTATTCAATATCATCATTAATCAGGTGAGTTTCTGTTAAAAGGAAACTTTGAGTGTGAAAGTCTAACACCTTTGAAAAGAACCTGAACTGGCTGCTAGTAAGAAAATTACCTCTCATGGAAGAAACTTAAGCAAACAAACAGATCAAAGGTGGCTTTCATCAGCTTTACACATGGTAATGGCCTGATGTATCAGGAACTTTCTAATGACAGGTTTCAAGTATCCCTCATGAAAGCACACACCAGAAACTCAGAGAAGGAGCTCTAACCTCAGTATCTTATTCAAAAGAAGAGTCAAATGAACTGCCAAATGAAACTGAAGAAAAAAGCCTCAAGTAATCTTGGGGTGGGCCATGTAGTCAATCTAGATTTTTATGTTGTCAGCTTTCCTCTTTTTAACTTGAAGATGCTGTGGCTGTCAGGAGTCCTGTCAGTGAGAACTACTTGCATCTGCTCAGAGATCAGCAAAATGTTATCCTGTGTGGAGAGTCCCAGCCTCCAATTACTGAATCCAGTTCGGAGGATTTTCTCCTAGCTGTACATTTAGGGAGTTCACTACTTTGTACTATTTCTTTTTTTAATGGGTTACATTTGTTTCACTACTTTGTACTATTTCTTTTTTTAATGGGTTACATTTGTTTCTATGTCCTTCCAAGTGTAATCAGTGATCATGTGACTAAACTCTATACATTTTTTATATATATATATATATATATATATATATACTCATATCACTGAATCACTTTGCTGTACACCTGAAACACAATATTGTAAATCAACTATAGTTCAATAAAAAAATAAAATAATCAAAATTATATATATATATTCTACTGTATAAAGACATACTTCTACCAATTACACCCTTCAGACGCTGCTTCATTCACATATCCAAGAGCTCAGAGATCCAGGATACTTTAAGTATTGCAGGACCATGTAATGTTATTTGCATCATTTTATAGCAAAAGTTCCCAAAGTTGTTGAAATGAAGAGTTACTTTTTATTGCCACAAATTCTAGTGTCACTGAAGGACACTAGAATTGAAGGACACTGAAGAACTGAAGGACACTGAAGGCTGAGAGAGGGTAGGAAGGGAGGAGACTGCTGGTAAGTCTCAGAGAGGAACAGAAAGGTCAGCTGCACTTCCCTGCCACGTGGAAATCCCAGCCCTCACATGGATAACTACTAATGGTGTCTGACCAACCTGTCGGGGCTTCAGTAGTTAACTTCCGCCAGTAGTTTTTCTTATCACAGGAGTCCAAAAAGGAACTGCAGGGGCTGCTGGCTCAAAAATGAGGTATTATGCCACCACCTCAGTTTGGAAAGAAGCCAATCTAAGAATACAGGGGATAAACAATAAAAAGAAATAAAATTTTCTACTTGAGGAGTTGACCTTATACCCCAATCTTGAAAATGAATTCCAATGTCAACCTGAACTTCAGTCCTCCAACCTCTGCTCATCTGGAACAAATCAATGCTGCTGATTTGGACCAAGGGCACAGGCTCTCAGCGCAAGCCCAAGCCCCGCTGCATGGCATGCAGGCCCCGGAGTTTACCTCCAATTCTGCTACCACAACTGGGACCCCGCTTAATCTCGTAGGACCCCTCATTTTCTGCAAAATATGAAAGCTGGATCTGAAGATTTCTTGAGTTCCCTCCACCACTACATTTCTCTGATTCAGAGCTTTCTGGAATTGAAAAAAAAAAGGCAGGAAAGCTAAATAAGCAAAGGTTAAAATGGTTACAAGTGGGGAGCAGGCCTGGGGAGCCAGATCCGCACCTTTCCCAGGATACAGTTCTACAGCTTGAATTCCTTTCAAGAACCTATTACTTTAGCAATAAAAAGAGAAGCCAGTGTCTGCTTCCTTCCTTCAGAGATGAAAATTAGACTTCAGTGCTCGAAGATTTAAGACGTCTCTCCCCAGTACCATTCTTGCAGAGCACCCTAGACCCTCCCAGTTTCCTGATGGTGCCCTCTGCAGACCTCAGTGACTGGCACAGGGAGGCGCCTGCGCTGGCTACCTCTTACCCCGCTGAGCAGCGCACAGGGGATTTTACATGTTGCAGGGGCCTTGCACTAAATGCTGCTCGCTTGAAACCCCAAAGCAAGGTTATTAAATTTATAAAACATGGCATCTAATCTATTTCATAGGGTCCTATCAAATGAAAACAAGTTAGTAGTACTCTGTTGTTAACTATTTGAGATTTACAGAAACAAAACACCATAGATCTTGGAAACGGTGTTGATAATTGATAGAAAAATTGATAATTGAAAGAAGGGAGAGTGATTTCCAGCACGGCTTTGTTATTGCTTAGCTGGCTAAGTCTTACTGAGTAGCTTAATACATTGAAGAAGCATAAGCTTTGCAGTCAGACAACTGTGTACTTGTGCAAAATCTGGGTCTCAGCTTCCTCATGTGTAAAATACATAAAATTAACTTGAACTATATCAAGCAACCACTTTTTTTGGCAAAAAAAACACAAAACCACTCTAGTTTTGTGGAGTTCATGATAACAAAGGTAGAGCACTTACATATTGCTTGGTACATCATACAGGCTCTTAATTAACGGAAGCTATAATATTTTGATTACTATTATTAACAACCCTCAAGGAATCTGCAGAACCATGATAAGACGTGGCCATGCCTTCCTTACAGCTACACTAATTAGCATCTCAAGCTCCCTTTGATCTAAGCTCTAAGTATGTATTCCCTGGGAAACTGGATAAACTTGGCACACTACGGTGAAGAACACTCCCCTGTTTACTTGAATGTGATAAACAGCTGTAGATGAGAATTAGCCTCCAACTAACTGGAGTAAGGAGACAGCTAAGACAAGTGCCACTCACCTCTCTTTGGTCTTTTCCAAAGCTTTCAGGAAAAATGAATCAAAACAACACAGACAAATAAGGGAAATATAGGAAATTCCGTAACTTCAAAGGAGAAACTCCATGTCTTTTTACCCAAACTCATGTAAAAACATGATGGCCACATGGCTTCTGCAGACAATTACACACATTCAAGAAGTTTTTAATATAATTTCCTTCATGGAGGGTAACTGGAGCTACGGAATGAAATCTCAAGAACACTGCACATCATGCACAAATGCATTGTGGGTGAGCCATCAAACCTGAGAAGGGAGGCTGAGGTCAACTGTGTCAAAGTCCTAAAAACCAGAGCAGCTGGCGTGAAGGTGCTCACCCATTACAGGCCTTCCAACAAGGCTCCACATCCAAAGACAGGTTACACGGGCATCAGGCTGACTTGATGACTTTACATGTCTAACAAGGGTAATGTTCACTTAAAGTGCCAGGGATCCTTACAGAGATAACCTAGCTTGGAATGTAGAAGCTCTGGTTTGACAAAGGTCCAGAGGCACCAAACAAAGGCAGGTGACGTACATTTTATCACTTCTAAAGGTTTCTCTGCCCTTGGTGTAGGGAATAATGTTTAAAAGACCACTGAGAAGACTTCTGGTAAGATCTTCTACATTCACACAATGAAAAATCTGTTAACTGGGACTCTGAAAAGCATCATGAAAAACTCAATGCTGTCTTGGCAGTTCTGATGGCTCAATGACAAAACCTAGCCTTAGCAGGGAAAGGGGGCTCCAGGAACTGCAAGCCACAGAAAGGCGTGTCCCGGTAAGTTAACTTCGTTGCACCCCACATAAAAGTTCGGCATCATCTGGTAAAGTGAGGCACACCCTATAACTCAACAATCCCAGGACTCCAAGGCATATCGCTAAAGAAACTTACACGTTGGTACTAGTCTCTAGGGGTATGAATCGTATAGCATTGTTCTCAGTTAGCTCCAAACTGGAACAGCAAAATGCCCATCAACAGTAGCATGGATATACTGTTATATTCATACAGTGGAGTACTAGACAGCACTGAAAATTACCTATGGATCTACACAAACTTACTATGAATGCAAAGCTATAAAATAACACAGTGATTCCACTGACTGAAGCTCAACAACAGCAAAGAAAAACTGTGTTGTTTAGGCATGCATACGTAGGTGGTAAAGAGAGAAGGAAAAGCAAGAAAGTGAACATCATAAAAGTCAGTCTAGGGAGGGAACGATGCTCAGAAAGGAACATGAGGTGCTGGAGGAACTCCTGAGGTACGGGCAGTTCTCTTTGTTTTTACCTGCCTGTTTTATTACTAATTACTCTCTAGGCATGTCCGTTGTGTGCACTTTTCTGCACATGCTGTATCGCCTAACGATTCATCGGTAACCCTGCAGAGGTTCACCCACTGGAACGGGGGCAGCTCGAGGCCGGTCCCCTGGCCACTGCGGAAGGAAGGACAGGCCCCGGGAACCGTCGCGGTCCCCCGGGCTGGCCGGCGCCGCACACCCACCCCCGCCTCCCGGGGCTGCAAGGTCCGCGCGGCCCGAGCAGGAGCGGCGGGCTGCCCTCGGCGACCCGAGCCCGCCACGTCGGCCTCACAGCGCCGGCGCCCAGGGCCGCCCGGCTCCCCGCGGAAGGCGCCCCGCCGTCCCGCCCAGGCCGGGGCCCCGCCGGCGCTCGGCCGCGCGTACCTCTGCACCGTGGAGGACACCTCGCCAGCTCCCGGTGACCAAGGGCACAGATTGTTTCCGGGGCTGCCCGCCACCCTCGCGGGCGACCACTGGCTGCCTCCTCCGGGCCGGGCGCGCGGGCACGGCGCACGCGCACTGCCGCGCTTCCGTGAGGGCGCGGCGGGGACCAGCCGGCGGGGAGCGCGCGGGGGCGACACGCAGCGGGCGGCGGGCGCGGCCGTGCGCAGTGCTGGGCTACTGCGGCTCGGGCCGGGCTGGGGTCTCGGCGGGAGCGGGGCTGCGGGGCTGCGGGGCTGCAGGTCCGCGGGCGGGGCGGGCGGGCGGGCGCGCGCGCGCGGTGCCGCGCGGTCCCGACGGGCCGGAGGAGGAGGGGCGCCGGTGACGCTGCGGGTGCCGCTGCCAGCTCCGGACGGAGTCGGCGGCCGGGCGGAGGACGGGCAGGCCGACCCTCGGACGCAGCCCCGGGCCGAGCCGCGGGCTTCCTGGCGAGGCAGGGCGGCCGCGAGCCCGGGCGGGAAGATGTTCAACGTGGAGTCCCTGGAGCGGGTGGAGCTGTGCGAGAGCCTCCTCACTTGGGTAGGTGGCGACGTGGTCCGGAGGCCCCCTCCCCCAGGCCGCCGTCCTGGGATCTCCCCGCGCCCCGGGCGGGCGCCGAGGGCGCCGGTGCCGTCACATCCGGGGCCCGGGGCGGGGGCCGGGACGCCGGTGCGGGCTGAGTCCACGGCGGGAGGCCCGGCCGGGTCCGAGGGAAACTCGCGGGGCCCGCGGGGCCGGGCGGAGGCCGAGGACGGGTGCGGGCGGCGCTGTCACCAGGCGGCTCCCCGCGCCTCCGGGGGCCGGGGGGGGGCACCCGAGACCCCGGCCCGACGCTGCCGCCTTTGTTGTCCCGCTCGCCGGGACAGCGCAGCCCTGAAGGGCGAGCGGCGCAGGGCGCGGGGGGAGAGGGCTTGCCGGGAGGGCGGAGGGTAGGAGAAGGACCCGCAGCCCGGCCTCCGCGATAGGAGAGGAGAAAGTGAGCGGCGTGGAGGTGCCTAGGGAAGGTGTTCGAGGTGAAAATAAGTCTGGAAGGTGTAGTGGGACTCGACATTTGGGGGGCAACGTTATGCCATTCTAATTTTAAATTATCAAATGCTTACTAAGATCCTCACATGTGCATGTAAATACGTGTTCCGTTCTAATGCCAACAGTCGTGCCTTTAGCAGCCTCTTGTACAGGTGGACGTAAAACCCAAGCTTGTGTGTTTCCCTAAGTGCGGTGTCAGTTCCAGGGTTGTGCCTGTGTGTGTATCTACAGGATAAACCTGGTGCTTCTTTGGGGAGCTTTCGTTTTACTCATTGCTAAAACGTTAAATACCACTTTTAGAATGCAGCACTAATCTATTTAGGGAGGTGACTACAGCATTTGTATTAATGTGCAAGGTAAGACACAGATGCCAAACAGATTCAGTTTAGCGGTGCCTTGGGCGATAAGCTTAGATCCCTGGAGTACAGACATCACTGCCCTGTGTGGGGACATTTGGGTGGAATGCTTAGAGGGCCAGTGTCCTAGGCTGGTTGGAACAAACATAATGAAAATAGTATTGAGATTTTCACAATTTGGCTTATGACACAAATCAAATTATGTTTTCTGAAACAGAATATGTACAAGGGTAGATAGAGCTTGATCTATTCAGTAACTTTTGTATTAGGGCATTCTTGGCATTTCAAATCGTTTGCAATAATATATAGTTAACATACAGCTTACAACTGTAATGGGTTCCGACTTAAGTGGGGAAATGGGTTCCCCTACTGCATTTTAGAGAAGAGAAGAAACAGATAAGCTGCATAATGTGGCCAAAGTTTGACTAGGTAGGGGAGAGATAAAGGAAAGAATTACCACATTCTTTGATACTGTGGAAGGAATGGATTTGGCAGAGGTTGTAAACAGAAGATTGAGGATCTGAAGATATGCATTTTTGAGTCTGTACCTTCTTCAGTGCTAGAAAAAAAAGGCAAGAGGGCAAAGATGAGGAAACATTGAATCTGAAGTAGGGTTACATTGTTTAAAGTCTAGAAAGAAGAGTCACGGAAACAAAGAGGTGTGTTTGAAGGGCATCTGCCAGAAGGTGGTGGTCAGTGCAGTTATTTGGGTGAGAAATGCTAATAAAAATACAGAGGAAGAATCACAGAGAGAAGTTTGAAGGGGTACTAACAGAAGCACACTATGGCCACATCTATTTAAAATCTGGTAAAATGTTAAGAAAATAGAGATAATCCAGGTTATCAGCTATAGAGAGAGGTCAAGGAGTCTGGTTTTGTAGAAAAAAAGGCTTTTTGAAATTTCACTGGAAGGCTCATCCAGGAAAATTTCTGGGGAAGAGATTATCAATGACAAAACTGGAGGGCAGAGTCCAAACAAAGGTATACAATTCTGAAATTTGGAAACATTTTAAAACGTTGTACATTGAAATGTTTCAAAATAAAGTTGAGGTTAAACGCTGGGTTTGTTCTTTTAGTTATAAAAAGCAGAATATCCCCTGTGCTCAGAACACAGGGGTGCGCCGCGAGGCCCCGGGTCCGCGAGGCCCCAGGTGGGTCCGCGAGGCCCCGGGTGGGTCCACGAGGCCCCGAGTGAGTCCGCGAGGCCCCGGCCTGGCGTGCGCAGGACCTCGTGCCCAGAGGTTTCGACGCCTCACGAACGTCCCACACCCCGATGCCAATAGTCGCCTCAGCGCCGTAAGCTTCGCGTCTACAGACTTCGGGGCCGCCCAGAAGCCAAAGCCCATCGAAGGTCTGACCCCGCTGACCCGCGAGCATGGGCAGCTACCTGAGCATGTATCTGGGCACGGCCAAGGCCATGCAGCCAGCCCACGCCCGGAAGCGCCGGTCCCTATGGTTCCCATGGACCGGGCCCACCCGCGGCACCTGCCTCCCGATGGGCCGGGCCGGGCGCCCAATCCTGTGCTACCGCCGCCGCCGCCAGGATCACGGGCTCTGGTTCCGCAGCAGGCGGCCGCTCCCCGCCGCCCTGCGCAACTGGAAGTACTATCCGGTCCGCGGGTCCTCGGTCCCCCAGGGCTGGAGGCGCCTTCCCAGCGGGCCGCCCCTCTGCACCCCCTCGGGGCTGGGGTTTTCCGGCCATGGCAACGGTTTCATGATGAGGTCCCAGTGGAACGCCCGCCTCTCCTGCCACACAGGACACAGAGCCTGGTGGACACCCGTACCGCCCCCGTTGAAAGCCTAAGCAACTTGTCCCCGTGTCCGCCCAGCCAGGAGTCCCTGGACCCCTGTGCCAAGGAGACCGCGCTGAGGGCCCTCAGCCGATGCGAGGAAGGACAAAGGCGGCTCGACGGGCCTCTCAGGTCTGAGAACCCCGAGCCCAGGCTGTCGGCCTTCCAGCCCGTGATGAGGAATGGAGTGGTCCCTGTCTTTGTGCCCAGGCCGGGGCCTCTGAGAAGAAGCATCTGCTCTGGGTGCAAGCGCCTCCGAGAAGAGGACACTGAGCCCGGCCTGACAGCAGCCTTGCCTGAGCCTTCCCTGCCTGCTGCCCACCCTGCTGTGAGGCCCCCCCACCCCCCACCCGCCCAGGGCACAGTCACAGAGCCTCGCTGGAGAGATGGGGGCGGATCAGCACTCCCGGGCCTGGGCCTCCTGCAGCCTGACGTCCCCCTTGAGTCCTGAGAGCCAAGGCCACCTCCTTCTGACACTCAAACCCACATTTCTTTTACCCAGCTGACCCCTGCCCTACCCCTGCCAGAGTCACTGGCACGGGCCGCCAGGCCAGCTCCCTCCACTCCAGCCAGGAGCTGCCAAGCCCCAGAGCCACCTCTCCTACCTGCAGAGCCCGCCCCGAGGAATCACCGCTGACGTCCAGGCCTGCACTCTCTCCTGCCCACCCACCCTTGCTGCCTTTGCCCCTGAGAAGACCCTTCTCGGAGGACCCTTCTCAGGAAGGCGTGCTTCTCCCCTATTGCCCACTTCATACGGTTTAAAGGTTGTTCTTATTTTAAATAATACTAAAATAGCTTCATTATCCTTAAAAAAAAAAAAAAGTTTCTCAGAATACTACTTCCATCCAAATCACTGTTCAAGAATACATGTTTTTTAATACTTAAGAAAGAAAAGCAGAATAAATGTTCATGTGGAACGTGTCTGTGGTAGCTGAAAATGTGCATTCACTCTAGTAGCTCCCTTCATAGCTGAAGGCCAGATGAATGCTGAACACAATTCCAAAACCAAAAGTAAGGGGGGAAAATGTATCCTATACATTCCTAAGAAAGGACCCCCATTTAGAATAATTTGTTTTGCATAAAGTTCTAGCCAACTTGGGTGTGCAGTTTCTTTGCACACAGCCGGTGAGAAGGTAACTGCCACATTCAGCAAAATGCAGGCAGCTGTCAGTGACAGAGAAGACCGGAGAGGTGAAGGTTCAGCCTGGGCAGTCTTTGAGCTGACAGCCTTGTATACATCAAGAGCCTCCACATTCAGTTACCGAAGATCATAATTATGATCCTGAATATCAAATAAAAGTTTATTTTCACTACACAGCATTTAGTTTGAGATCAGAGGTATATAGTACATATTAGAAGTTCTTCCACCAGAAGTGGTTAAAATAACAACTCAGGCACTTAGAGGGATGCCTATTAGCCACCTATGCAGAATTCATTTCTGTGGAACATCTCAGTGTCCCAAATGCTGGATAACTTGCTATTGTATCAGAAAGGTTACTAGCCCGAGAACCAAATGTTCCCCATTTTTGTTGAAAGAGGAATGCTTGTTAAGAGACAAAGTATCATCCTACCAAGGGAAGATGGTTTAAGCTTAAATTCCGAATCAAAGTTTATGCAGTAAGAAAGTTCAGCAGGATGTGCTGGAAAGTTTCCACTCTTAACGTCTCTCCCCACCCTCTGAGTCAAAATGTACTCTTACCTGTTAGGAAAAATCTGCCCTAGGGCTTCCCTGGTGGCGCAGTGGTTGAGAGTCAGCCTGCCGATGCAGGGGACACAGGTTCGTGCCCCGGTCCGGGAAGATCCCACATGCCGCAGAGCGGCTGGGCCCGTGAGCCATGGCCGCTGAGCCTCTGGACGCAAAAATCTGCCCTACCTATTACACCTGTCAAGCCTAATTTCTTGAATGGTACGTGGAAAGATTGCTCTTTCCTAGGTTTAAGAGACTGAAAAACCAGAAAGAATCTGGAATGCCGCCAACTAATGGCAAGAAGCTAAGTGGAGCAAGAATCATGACCACACAGGTTCAGTACATTTCTTCTGGGAAACCCAGCAACATTAACATATCCTTGTAACTTTCATATTTAACAGCCTGTAAAATGGCATGTTGGCGTTTACAATTAGGGAGAGTATAATTTTTGGGGTGGTATCTCCCCCATTCCATTCTCTCTGTCTTTCCTAACTCTTAGGTCCTCTAATGGAGGAATAAAGGAATCAGATATACAAAAGCATGTATATTTTTTAAAGCTTTAATTTTTTTTTTTCAACTGAGGGCCAATATGACATGTTAGTTAAGAGTATAGGTTCTGAAATTTGACCACCTGGGTTCAAATCCTGACTTTGCTTCCTACTAACTGTGGGTAGCTTTGGACAAGAAACTTCACCTATGTTTTGACTGCATTCAATTTAACACTAAGAAATGTTTCCTATGCATTAGTATTGATCAGCATAATTGGAGGGCTTGTTAAAATGCTGACTGCTAGGCCCCAGTTCCTGAGTCTGTAATTCAGTAGGGCTGAGCTAGGGCCTGGTAGTCTTCATTTCTAACAGGTTTCCAGGTGGTGCTATTAGTGGCCTGAGGCCTACACTTTGAGAACCACTGCTCCAGAGCAAGGTTTGTTAACCTTAGCATTACTGACATTCTGGGCTGGATCATTTTTGTTCTGGGCACTGCTCTGTCATCCTGGTCTCTACCTACTAGATGCCAATAGCACTCACTTAGTGGTTACAACTAAAAATGTCTCATAGGGAGCAAAATTGCCCCTGGTTGAGAATCACTACTCTAGAGATAGTAATTCCAGATGATCTCATGCATTACCCTTCTCATGCTTTTGTGGGGGAAGGTGAGGTGGAAGTTGGATGGTGTTAATAGAGCTCCTTGGAATTAAAAGAGAGGTTATGACCCTTCCAGCAGCATGTCACGCCCTAATGTGGTTAAGTGCAATTACCTTTAAATTTTACTCTACTTATTGGGCTTCCCTGGTGGTGCAGTGGTTGAGAATCCGCCTGCCAATGCAGGGGACACGGGTTCGAGCCCTGGTCCGGAAAGATCCCACATGCCGCGGAGCAGCTAAGCCCATGCGCCACACAACTCCTGAGCCCACGCTCTAGAGCCTGTGAGCCACAACTACTGAGCCTGTGCTGTAGAGCCCATGAGCCACAACTACTGAGCCTGCACTCTGGAGCCCGCATGCTACAACTACTGAAGCCTGCATGCCTAGAGCCCGTGCTCTGCAACAAGAGAAGCCACCGCAATGAGAAGCCCGCACACCGCAACAGAGTAGCCCCTGCGTGCAGCAACGAAGACCCAAACACAGCCAAAAATAAATAAATAAAATAAGTACATTAAAAAAAAAGGTTTTTTTTACTGCTGTCCTGAAACACTCTGTAGATTTTAACTCAGAATTTATGAGAACTGGTAGGTGAGAGATTTTTTAAAAAATTAAAATACACATACCATAAAGTTCTTTTAAAAGTGCACAATTCAGTGCTTTGTAGTATGATCGCAGGTTGTGCAGCCATCACCACTGTCTAATTCCAAGAACATTTTTATCACCTCAAAAGGAAACTCCATAGAGAGAGTTTCTCTGGGATCTGCTTTACCTTTATCTCAAAGCAGAGGTGGACATCCTCTAGCCTTCATGAGCGACTATTTACCTCAAGAGCCAATTCAGAGAAAATAATTGTTTGGAAGCCACATTTAAAAAATCAAAATGAAAATAGTTTTAAGTCCCAAGAGAGAAACAGATGGAGTCTTACAAGTAAATTACTTGCATTATTGAATTACCTACTTTATTGAGCTTTTCCTTATGCTTGGCCAGAGGCAGTTTTCTGATCTTTCATCCTTTACATTTGGTAGTGGGTTTGGATCAGAACCCTTTGGATCAGAGGGTTCCAAATGCCAAACCAGTGCCCTGCCACATAGCATTATTTGATGAACTTGTTAAAAAGAGACTCCCAGTCTTCTTCAACTTCCCACATGATTCGGGTGTACACCAGGTCTGGGAACTACTGCTTAAGACTTTTACAAATACATAATGTCCATTTATTTTCTCTTTAAGCAACACACCCCTCCATAAGGTATTTTTCCCAATTTCTAGATTGAAAAACTGACATGAAATGAGGTAAAGTGGCATATCCAAGGCACACAGCCAGCAGATTAGGGGCAAAGCTGGGGATGGAGTTAGTTTACATGCAGAGCATGTTCAGTGAGGGCTGTTCTGGGCCAGGTTGGTGATCAGGAGATGAGTGAGGTGTGGCCCTCACCTGTGGTCTTTTTCATTCTAAGCCTACAAGAAAGAGATGAATTCAGCAACTGTAAAACGAAAGTGGGTGCTTATTTCTTTTCAAACTACATTGTTATTGACGAGGCGACTGGAGAGAGTGTGGAGTGAAATTCAGTATCATTTCCTACAGATGATGTTTATTTGGTCCATTTATTCAGTTACTAACGATATATTGAACCTCTGCATGTATAAGGTTAGTGTCAGGGGCTAGCCTGCAAGGGCCCTCTTTTCATTACCTCTCCCAAGTAGACACCTAAGTAGAAACCACCTGCTATGTGATCTTTAAGACCATTTCCTTAGTTTCCGCCGCCATAACCATCTCAACCCACAAGACTGTCAAAAATATGAAGAAGCTGCTGACAGCACTTGTTAATAGTTCTTTTTTTTAAAGATTTGATAGATGACACGGCACAGAGAAGTGGACGCTCACCAACTGTTAGTAAATTGCTACAGCACTTGTTCAGGGCAGTTTGGCAATATTTATCAAAAACCTTAAAACGTTCATACACTTTGATCCAGCAAATTTACCTCTAGGAATATAACCCTGTAAGTAAAAATGTATTGAAGGCAGATGGTCCCCTGACCATTATTTGCTGGGTTTCCATTGTCATTATCTAGTTTGACCTCATGTGTTAACATACAAACCTACTAACATAGGTCTCCCTGCCTACTCCCTGCAAGCCTTTCTTCATACTGCAGCTGCTGTGATCCTTATACGATGCAGATCTCATGGCCTCACCCTCCTGCTTAGAATCCTTTGCTTTCTCTCCTTGCTCTGAGGATGAAGTCCTAACGTGACTTGAGAGGTTTTGCACAACAATGCTTCTTTCTTTAACCCTGTCTTTCCCCGTTCTACTCTCTTCCCTGTTTTATCTCTTCTTCTGATTCCTATACTCCTCCATTTTACAACCTATAAACTGCAGAGCATGGCTTGCGTCTATCTATTCTCAGTGATTTATTGCCTTCTAAGTCCTGGTTGTGCTACTGAGTAGAATCATTGCTGGCTCAGCTGTATTATTATCTTGCTCAGAAATAATTTCTACTAATTCTCAGCTATGTTACGTTAGTTCTGATTCATAATACATTGAAAATCAAAATGAACTGAATATCTAACCTAACTGTGTGATTTCTACATCTGTATAAAGATATTTTGGTTCTGAGTAAAAGAAATCTCAGCTTGGCCAGGCACAAAGAAGAAATGTATCTCACATAATAGGAGGCCTCAAGATTTTTAGTTTAGCGGCTCACTTTTGGCCTCAAGGACCCCGTTCTTTCTGTTCCTCTTCTCTGCCATCCACTGCATTGGTCTCATCCTAACGGTCAACAAGATGACTGCTCGTGGCAGTTGAAGCAACCAGCATGTTTATTCACACCAAGGGGAGGTTGGCTTTTCTTTCCCGGAAGCCCAAGTAAGCCTCTGTTTGCATCTGTTTGGTCCAAATTGTCTTTGCCTGTGCACCCATGAGCCAGTCACTGGCAGAGGGGATGACGGTACCGTGACTTTCTTAGATGATTATCTGTGAGGAGGGTGAATGCGGGGAAGCCGCCCAGTGTCCACCACCTTCTCTCTTTTACCACAAGGAAAAAGTTGCAATAGCAAGCTGCGGGAAACTTCCCGTGAGGGAAAACATTTCACAGTGTTCTGCTTTTTAAAACGTATTCAACTCCCAAGATGAGGTAGAAGAAGTCTAAGAATTCTTCTATATGGTTAACCATGGAATCTTTTTTTCCTTTTTTTTAATTTCCTTTTTCCAGATCCAGACATTTAATGTGGATGCACCATGCCAGACCGTGGAAGATTTAACGAATGGGGTTGTGATGGCCCAGGTTCTCCAAAAGATGTAAGAATAAATTGCTTTATCTTTTTGTATCTTATTATACCTGGATATTTATTAGATTGAAAACATGGACAAAAAAATACAGTGCTCGCATGAAACACGTGTTGCGTGGAGACCGAGAACTGAGCAGCACAGGTGGTTCTGGCAGCCTGTGCTTGTTTAGGCACAGATGGACCGGCTGCAGGGGTAGTTAGGGCTGCAATTGCTGCAGTACTCCAACGGTTTCAGCAGAATTCTTTCTTCCTGTGGTTTTCAGTGTAAGCTTGGCAGACATTTTCCTGTTAGCGTCCAGATTTTGCCATCATAGAAGGATCTGAGAGGTTTACTCTGTCTTTAGGGCTCTGCTCAGACGTTGTCTTACCAGCGGGGCCCTCCCTGCCCACCCCTAGAAAATAAGCGATAGCCATGCCCTGTGCTCGGTTTCCCTTTTAACCTTCCGTATGCTTCTCAGCAGTAGGTAACACCATATCGTATACCATGTATTTTGCTTGCTTATTTGTTACCTGCTGCTTCCCCCCACACCTGTCTGCAGACAGACAGACAGACACACATACACACACACGCACAGTGTAAGCTCCACCTAGAGGCAGGGTGAAAATATAATAGTTGTAAAATTGATATTGTATGGCTGTCTTCAACTTTTGACCTAGGAATTTTTCAAATAGAGGATTACCTGTGAATTTAAGATGTCAGTAAGTTTGATGTGATTTGGGGGATACTTCTGTCTTTTGAAGCCCTGAGCCCTTGTTAGCCTGAGACACTAAAGAATTTACATGGGACTTGCTGCGATTTCCTGCAGCTCTATTGAGAATCAGTATCATTGCTAAAGGATTCTTGCCGTTGCTCCCCTTGCAGTGAGCTGTGTAGAGCTGCCCGTCTGGAAGCTTCTCAAATGCCTGCATTTCAGAGAATCTACCTGCCTTTCACACTGGCGGTTCATGCTTGAAAACTATAGCTTGCTGTACCTTTCTTCTGCACCTTACATCTCTCCAGACATACAGGCATGCAGACTTTCTGGCAGAGCTCAAGAAGGCTAACTTGAAACTGACCAGCCCGGGTTCTAGCACAGAGAAGAGCGGTCTTGTGATTTTCGTGGACACTTTTGAGTGGTGCCCTAATAACGTTTAGCTTTTGAATGGTCTAGAACAGCGGTCCCCAGCCGTTTTGGCACCAGGGACCAGTTTCGTGGAAGACAATTTTACCATGGATGGTGGGGGAGTGGTGATTCAGGCGGAAACGCGAGCGATGTGGGGGATGGTTCAGGCGGTAATGCGAGTGATGGGGAGGTTGGTTCCGGCCGTAACGCGGGTGATGGGGAGGTTGGTTCCGGCCGTAACGTGAGCGATGGGGAGGTTGGTTCCGGCGGTAATGCGGGTGATGGGGAGGTTGGTTCAGGCGGTAATGCGAGCGATGGGGGCGATGGTTCAGGCAGTAATGCGGGTAATGGGGAGCGGCAGATGCAGCTTTGCTCACTCGCTTGCCACTCACCTCCTGCTGGTAGCGGTCCACGGCCAGGGGGTTGGGGACCCCTGGTCTAGAGAGTTGCAGTGCAGTTCTTAATAAAAATTATTTGTGGGCAAGTGGGCCTAGCTACGTGAGCTTTCCAGGTATGTGTCATTAAATGAATTTTTTGCTTGTTAGTTTGGGTAGGATTTCTATTGTAGAAACCAGAAGAAAGACTGTATGAATATGTTATTTTACCAAATCAGGATCATAACATGCATTATGTTCTGCAGAGTGGTTATTCTCATTTACGAAAGTCTTGTGGGCATATTTCTCATCAATATTTAGTTTTTTACATTTTTTTCCCAAAACGCATTCCTTTTTTCATTTTGTTGTGGTATAATGTAGACCGAAAAACATACTAAAAGAAGTGATTAATTTGTGTGTAGTATGTATATATTGTATGTATATGCACACATGTATACACACATCCATGTAACCACCACCCAGACTGAACTATATAACATTTTGAGCCCCCAAATGGTCCCCCTCATGCCCCTCCCTAATCAATACCCCTTGCCTCAAAGATAGCCATGGTTCTGATTTCTACACCATCCTTCTTATAAGTGGAATCATACAGTTTATACTCTTTTGTGTTTGACTTCTTTCACTCAACATAATGTCTGTGTGATTCATTCATGTTGTTTATATTGTCTATTTAAATAATCGTATAATAACAGCTTCACAGAAGCTTCCTCCTTTGTCAGTTTGATGTTTATTGAACGGCTGCTCTGCATCCAGCACTGGTGATGCAAGGATGAGCCACAGTCCACAGGGTAATTGTGTTCAGAGAGTTTATAACCTGGGGAAAAGCAGATGTTAAATGACCAAGGAAACAAAACTGCTAGTGGAACAAGCGCTACAGAGAAATGGTGAAAATTCCTAAGTTGGCAGTTGTCTCCCCAGGGCTAGCATTCAGAAGAGTCCAAACCAGAGATATCAAGTCGGGTGTTTCTTAATTGAAGCCATGAGTGTGGATTAAATCACTCAGGGAAGAGTATAGGGTAAGAAGAAAACAGTGTGTAGCCTGAGCCTTGAAGAACTCTGACATCTAGTTGTTGGTTAGAACATCTACCAGCAGAGGGACCAGAGAGGCACAGGGAAAGCCAGTAGAGTGTGGATGCTGAGAGAAATAGCAGATCTCTTCATTTAAGCCCATAAATGGGCTTACAGTATGTTTTATTTTTTGAGGGAGAGGGTGTGGCTTCTTTCATGCAACATAAAATTTTGAGATTTATTCATGTTGTTGCCTGTCTTAATATAGTCCATGCTCATTCCATTGTATGGATATACCACAATCCATCCATCCGTTGGCTGCTGAGGAACTCCTGGGTTATTGTAGTTTGGGGCTGTTACAAATAGAGCTGCTGTGAACATCAGTGTCTACATCTTTGTATGGACACATGCTGCCATTTCTCTGGGGTGAAGTTCCAACTAGGGGTGAAATGGCTGCAACATGTGGCAGGTGTAAGTTTAATATTTAAGAAACTACCAAACTGCTTCCAAAGCGGATGTACCATTTATGTTTTTACAAGCAGCGTGTCAGTGTTCCAATTGCACCATGGCCTCACCAGCACTTGCTGGGGTTGCTCGTTTTAATTATAACCATTCTAGTGGCCGTCTAGTGGTGCTCATTGTAGATTTTATTTGTATTTCTATAATGACTAGTGATGTCGGGAATCTTTTCTTGTATTTCTTGTATTTATTTATATTTACTGTGTGTGTATATATATATATATATATGCATACATATATATATCTTCTTTGGTGAATTGTTTGCTGTAATCTTTTTTTGTTTGTTTTTAATTTCTGGGTGTGCAAGCCCAGTGCCCCACCATGACTCTGGGATCTGGGACATCCCTGGGACTATGGGGCCCTCTGAGGGGTGGCTGGCCAGACCGTGTCCACATGCTGGTGGCCACACGCTCACGTCCACACACTTCCCCACCCGCGGGCACTGGGTCAAGCCAATGAGGCACAGGTGGGGTTAGGAGTTTGTGGCCACACCTGCCTTTGAATCTTGGCTGTCCCTTACTAGATGCTTGACCTTGGGCCCATAACCTTCCTGTACCTCAGTTCTCTTATCTGTAAGTTGGGGAAACTACCTATATGTTTAGAGTACCTGGAGCGTAGTGAGCTTACAAGAAATTTTAGCTGTTGGTATTATTTCAGTTAGCTAAAGGCATCATTATACACTGTTATCAGTGTATTCTTTCATTTATCAATATAGGAATTTTGAAAATTTTTATGTTTACTTACATTTTATTGAAGTATACTTGATTTACAGTGTGTTAATTTCTGCTGTACAGCAAAGTGATTCAGTTATACATATATATTCTTTTTCATATTTTTTTCCATTATGGTTTATCACAGGATATTGAATATCATTCCTTGTGCTATACAGTAGGCCCTTGTTGTTTATATACATAGTAGTTTGTCTCTGCTAATATCAATCTCCTAATTTATCCCCCCCTCACCTCCTTTCCCCTTTGGTAACCATAAATTTGTTTTCTACGTCTATGAGTCTGTTTCTTTTTTGTAAATAAGTTCACTTGTATCATATTTTAGATTCCACTTATAAGTGACATCATATGGTATTTGTCTTTCTCTGTCTGACTTAATTCACTTAGTATGACAGTCTCTATGTCCATCCGTGTTACTGCAAATGACATTATTTCATTCTTTCTTATGGCTGAATAATATCCCATTGTATGTATGTACCACATCATCTTTATCCATTCATCTGTTGATGGACATTTAGGTTGCTTTCATGTCTTGGCTATTGTGAATAGTGCTGCTGTGAGCATTGGACTGCATGTATCTTTTCCAATTAGAGTTTTCTACAGATACATGCCCAGGAGTAGGATTGCTGGATCATATGGTAGTTCTATTGATATTTTTAGAATACTGTTCTCTATGGTGGCTGCACCAGCTTATACCAACAGTGTAGGAGAGTTCCCTTTCTCCACAACCTCTCCTGTTTGCTGTAATCTTTTGCCTATTATTTATTTATTTTTATTAGAATATAGTTGCTTTATAATATTATGTTAGTTTATACTGTACAGCAAAGTAAATCAGCTATATGTATACATATATCCCCTCTTTTTTGGATTTCCTTCTCATTTAGGTCACCACAGAGCATTGAATAGAGTTCCCTGTGCTATACAGTAGGTTCTCATTAGTTATCTGTTTTATACATAGTATCAGTAGTGTATATATGTCAATCCCAGTCTACCAATTCATCCCACCGCCCCCCTTTCCCCCTTGGTATCCAAACATACATCTGTGTCTCTATTTCTGCTTTGTAAATAAGATCCTCTATACCAATTTTTTCAGATTCCACATATATGTTTTGATATATGGTATTTGTTTTTCTCTTTCTGACTTACTTCACTCTGTATGACAGTCTCTAGGTCCACCCATGTCTCTACAAATGACCCAATTTTGTTCCTTTTTATGACTGAGTAATATTCTATTATATTTATATATCACATCTTCTT